ATTAGCCAAATTTATTTTTTTATGGTTTATTATTGTATTTTTTTTTGCCAAATTTATTTTTTTATGGTTTATTATTATATTTATAATTAAAAAAAAACATCACATGTAAGTAATTATTTATTTATTTTAACATTACATAGAACTAAAATAACTAGATTATTTTGACCAAAAAACATCACATGTAAGTTAAAATAACTAGATTATTTTGACCAAAAAAGTAAAATGTGTGTGTATTATTAATAATATTTTATTATCATCTTATTAACCAATATTAATTGCTATGTAAATTGCACAAAACTAAATATCAAATTCATTAAATGATACCATTAAATGATACCATAACTCGTTTTCAAATTGCACAAAACTAAATATCAAATTCATAAATGATACCATAACTCGTTTTTTTTCTTTTAAATTTTAAAAGTGTTTAGGAACATTATGTTACCATACAATTTGAGCTTTTTTTAATGCACGAGCATGTCAGACCAGCCCACGTGCACCTAGCCTTTCTTTCTCTTTTTTTTTTCTTTTTTAAATTTTTTTCTTTCTCTTTTTTTTTTAAAAAAAATTTTTTTTTCAACATTTGATTTATTTTGAATTGATATTCATAATATGTTTCAATTTTATCTTTTTTGGATTGTCACAATCTCAAAATGTTTAGGCATTTGACTACTGGTCAATTTTACCAACGTCTATTTTTGTTATCGATTTTTTTTGTGAATAATTGATTTTTTATGATTTGTTTTTTTCATAAAGCTATCATAATCTTATGACATGGATAATAAGTTTAATAAGTTAATCTGAATTAATCTAATATGTTGATACGTGTGTGTGTATAAAAACTATCTTCTTAAAATTCTTTTTAAAAGTCAAACCATGTTATTAACAATCATTCGGGTTATATATCTTTAGACCCATGTGTATATGTTTTTTTAGTCGTCTAGGTTTTTATTTTATCATTTTTTTATGTTTAATTTTTTTTATTTAACCACCAACATATCACGGGAAATAAATTTATATGCTCTTATTTCATGTTAGACGTGGACATGTCTTTCATTCTAAAAAATTACCTTACTACTCTAAAAAAATTATTATTTTTTTAATTTGTCAAAACTAGTCCATTCGACGACCCTAATTTCTGGTTACTAAATCTAAGATAAATAACATGCCACCTTGCAACCTTGTTATTGTACAGTAGTCCTAATCTTTTTTTCTAGTGATCTTCCGTTTAATAAATATTTTCAAAGCTAGTCAAAAAGTCTATCAAGGCTATAATTATAACACGAAGAGTATTGAGTTTTTCGAAATACATATATATAATAAAAATAATAAATTCAATATTTTTATAGGAGTCTTAATAATCCCGTTAAACAAATCTAGAGTAGTTTAAATGTTATATGAAAATTACCTGAAGATTAAATGTCCTTTCATCCTTGAATAATTATTTCAATGTTAGATTATCACAAATCACAAGTCGTCTAAATATCCAGTCTCTAATGATAGCCAACACAGATCACCAGCTAGAAATCTCTTAAATATTTTTAGAAAGGAGAGATTGTTCTATCTTAGAGTGTTAGTTTTTTTTTTTTTTGTATTTTAGGTGTTCACATATTGCACTTTACTCACACTTTACATCATTTAGAAAATAAATTGCATAATATTCTATTATAAGGAAAGCTAAAAACCCTATAAATAGAAAAATATCAATTTTCTCCTTCAATAATATTATATATATTATTTTCAGTTAATTTTAGAAATTAATTCAATCAAGTTTTTATTTGATTGTTTATAAATCTTGAATTGTAATTCCATGTATTAATTACATTCTAACCCCTAATTTTTAAAATTTATTTACAATCAAGTCGCACTTGATTAATTATTCTATTTTAGTTTTTGACTAACGATTCTTGTACTTGTGATCCATTAGATTTTCTAATAAGTTTATCTAAATATAAATCACAATTCTAAATAAAATAATATTAAATTAATTAATTTATTATCAATTCTACAATTAATTAATTTATATTTAAAGATCAAATACAATGTTTAGCAACTTGTTATAATTACTCAAATACTAAGAAAATCATAAGTGATTTGACTTAACATTTCTGCAATCAGTTTCTCTTTGTAGTTATTATTCCTTTATCAACAATGTCCTGATTTAAACATTATAGCATAAAGTATGTTTACTGTGTCAAATCATATTTTTTCCCTAAATATCATAGTCATTATTTCTTTAAATAAAATTTGAAACTCTTTTCAATTTTTATTTCATCTTACGCAAGAATTTATAATCAATGCTATTTAAGAGTGAAGGGAACATTTTTTTTTATTCATTAGGGGTGATGTATTCTCTCCTGATTACTTAAATACCTTCATATATATATAGTTCATGTTATACTTAATATTTGTTCAATTGTTACCCTTGATTAAGAAAATATGTAGCAATATCAAAATACAATACTCTCTATATAAGATAACTTAGTGATTTTAAGTTTAATATTTACTTATACAATTATCATGTGAGTCTTTTTATAATCACAAGTGATCTTTCCATATAAAATTCTCACACCGGTCAATTCAATGTACATATCATCTAACAAGTATCCACATATTAGTTTTAGATATTTTTTATACCCAAGTTTATGAAAATAACCACTTCATTTCATAAAAAATAACATAATATATATCAATCTTAACAACTCTAATTAATATTCAGTCTTGATAAAGCATTGACAAAGAACATGCATTTTTTAAGCTTTGGGTTTTTTATTTTTTTGAATTTTATCATTTAATATTTATTTGATTTTGAATTTGTCTCTATAAATTATTTTTGACTTGTTTATCTAAGGTTATCATAATTTTAAATAAATATATCAACATATGATGTGTACTTAATTTTACAAATATTTATTTCTATTATCATGGAATCAAATAAAAAATAATTCTAAAAAAATAAAGTTATAATCAATTAAATTTATTACTAACATCGTGAATTTGACGAGTTAGGTTACGAAACCCAAGTCAATCAACATGTTACCTTCTTAATATTTAAAAATAAGATAATTTTAAATTTTTTAAAGTTATACCATACTTTTTTAACAATCATTCAAGTTATTTTTAAGTTAATTAAGTTAAATGAGTTACATTATAATAATTTTTATATAATTTAATTTTAAATTTGAATGAGATAAAAAAATTAATTTAAAAAATTTTAAACTTGATTCATCAAGCTATATTTAATAATAATATCTAATAATTTTTTTATATTTGAATATTTCTTTTCCTTTCAATTTTTTTTAATTTAAGCTGCCGCGTGACACGCCAAAACTACTTATAAAGGAGATATGTATATTATTATATATAGTCATGAAAAAAACAAGGTAGGTTCATCATACTCAGGGGCCACATACACGTGGTCGTAATTGTACACGGAGGAATATCTATGGCGACCGTCTTCCGCCACCGCCCATGACGCGCACTCGGCCCCACTTTTCTTAAAGCGTGCCTCAGGCCGGGCCGTACCCTTCCAACGAAGATTCTCACTGCTACGCCCTCTTGCTTTTTTTTTCCACACAAACCTACCACGTTGATAGGATTTAAGTGCTAATTGGTCCTCATATTTACATCAAGCATTAATGCCCTCTTTGAAACCAACGTTTACTGCAGTGATTCAAGGGCTCGAAAGTCCGATTTTCCCGTGGGAATTAATTTGGATGCCTCCAAAATTGCTTTAAGGGCCAAATTTGTGAAGTGCACAGCATTCTCTTCGTCAAGTGAAATTATCCTAATTTAATTGCTTGATGTATTACAAGATGATTTTAAGAAAAGTGCCTAACGTAATGCATGCTTTAAAAAAAATACATTTTCATATATTTTTTTTATTTTTAATATTAACACTTTAAAACAATAAAAAAACATAAAAATAATTCAATTTCATGTTTTTTTAAGCAAAGAATAATTTAAAAAACATAAAGTAATAAAATGCTAAATAGACACCGATAAGTTTAGTTTAATGTATTAAAATAAAAAAAATCCTTACAATCCAATAAAAAATAAAGAATTTTTTTTCATAATCTTATATGAAGCTTCGAATCTTTATAGAATAAATCACTTCAATAATCATACCTAATCAACATAACTTTTAAAATGCACTATTATCATTTTTTAAGTACATTATGATCAATTTTCATGTTTTTACCTCAAGAATAAAGAAGCACCCGTCAAACATGGCAACACAATCTTCATTGAAAAGAAAGGACTCCAATTTTCTATTTAATTGAAATTTCAAGATACAGCAAAATCTCTCTAAAATCCCAAAGAAATAGCAGTAAAATACAAGAGAATCGGGTAGAATTATTAAAAAAAATGCCTGGAGTTGCCATCTCTAGTTCGATAGGAATAAATAGTATTTCCGATGCATTTTGCCAACTTTATTATTAATTTTTTAATGTACGACAGTTCTCAAGAGGACCCAACAACAGCATAAGAAGCAAGCAACGACAGCAGGAGAGAGAAATACAAACAAATGAAGAGTTGCACACAGATACACAGAGGGATCTAACAAACATGGGGTGATACCCGATAACAAAAACAGCGGAGGCAGCCGTACTTGTTTTTCTTGTAGCTGCTAATCAGATTAATCTCAAAAAGCTTCCTTTTTGGTGAGTTCTTCTTTTTTGTTTGATCTTTCAACTGTCGCCGTCGTCTATAGTTACATCGTCCTTTGTTCAGTACATGTCAACGGTCAATGGACCGTGTTTTCCTGCTCTTTTCGTGCTTGATTATGTTGTTCTTGTTTTTTTCTTAACTTCCGATTGCTTCTTCTGTTTTTTCTTTTAGAGTTTCATGCTTTAACCTGCTGTGTATGATCGCGCAGTCTTCTTCTTCTTCTTCTTCTTCTTTATTTAATTGAATAAATAAATTGATTCGTGATTCTTTGGAGAATATTTTTTTATTTCTTTATTTTATCAGATTCTCATACCTGGCTGTTTTTTTTAGTGTTCTTTCGATCAGGTTTGTCATAAATAGAGAGCAGTTGCTCTTTCGTATACTGAATACTTTCTGGACTTGAAAGCTCTAGTGATCAGGTATTTTTTCTTTTAGTCTGGATTTATTTGTTTCAAGCTGTGAAGGATCTGATCTTATAAACTATCAGTGTTGTTAACATTGAAATTGAATTAAGCATGTTTTGTTTGTTGATTTTGTTGACATAGGTACAAGGAGTGAAATACAAAGCTCAGTATTGAGAATCAGTGCTGGTTTGACTGGTTGTTGGTCGTATTTATATCTGGTTTTGGACTGGATCATCACTTACTGCTTCAAGGATTGAATTTTGTCGTGTCTGCGATCGGAATTTGAAAGGGGTAGTGTTTATTGGATTGAATTATGGCTGCCAGGTCGCAAGCAGATTCTAAACGAAAGTATTCATGGTGGTGGGACAGCCACATCAGCCCAAAAAACTCAAAATGGCTTCAAGAGAATCTTACAGGTATTGGTTTGTTTATTAAGAATTTAGTTTGGATTTTTGTTTAGTGTGCAAGTGGGGTGTGCTTAACTGTTTAATCATTTTTCCATATATCAAGTGAGTGAGCTGGCTATTTGGAAGACATGGTAACCAAGACATTACAATGAATGGCACCAACATTTTGCCTGAGCTGACTGTCAACTCTTTGAAGAATAGCTTTTATTAACCATCTTCCTTCTTAGGAAATAAACAAATTGAACTAATTTTAATGAAGATCGACACCTCATGTTAATTGTTGCTGCGTAGTTCTATGCATGCCCGAGTGATGAAGTGGATCTCTGATCTCCTAACATCTCTACTGCAACCGGGGCGAAAGGAAACATAATTAAAGAATTCCAAACAAATGAATGGAATCAGTTAAAACTCTTGAAATGTATGCACAAAATTAAAAAAAGTTGGAAGGTATTTAGCTTGCATTTACTTTTGGTGTGAGCCTTAATTGCACCTGGCTGCATTTGATCATTGCAAACATCTCTGCATTTATTTGCTGCTGTATATTCGATAACTTAAATGATAAACTAGGAACTAAAATCTAAGAATCGGATGATAATTACTGCCAATGTGATTTTTGTGGTTGCAAAGATATAACTTCTGATTTTTTGTCTCATGCTTGTGTCTTTGCTTTTCATTTTCCTTACAATTGATAGGTTTATCCAAGGGTTCAATCTATAAGTTTTTACTTTCATGGCATGAAATTACATCGCCTCTCTGATATCTTTGATCTCCTTATTTTTGTGAATTGATTGTCCTATTTCTTGGGTAAAGAAACCAAATTTTTGGAGAAACATTCTCCTTGGTTTGCTACACTATATCACTGCATAGTATTTAACAAAGAGTATCAGTTAACGAACTCTTTATGTCAATCCACACCCTGACTCTCCTTGGATGGTTTGTAATTCTGCTTCTAATTTAATTTGGTGATTTGAGGTTAATAAAACTGCGGTTACTCTTTTAATCAGAAGGGGGAACCGATGAATATATTTTATTGCTAATTACCTGTAGACCACCACAATTTCTTGTACTTATTCAAAATATATACTGAATTTGAGTTTTAGCTTCTTTATTACTTCTTTCATTCTGTAGGTTTTGTGCTAGACTTACAGCAGCATTTGCTATCTATCTGGATTTAACTGTTAAACAATTCTCTTTTCTATGAACAGGTATGGATTTCAAAGTCAAACAAATGATCAAACTCCTTGAAGAAGACGCAGATTCCTTTGCAAGGAGGGCAGAGATGTACTATAAGAAACGCCCGGAGCTTATGAAATTAGTTGAAGAGTTTTATAGAGCATATCGTGCATTGGCTGAAAGATATGATCATGCCACCGGGGCCCTTCGCCAGGCACATCGAACAATGGCAGAAGCATTCCCCAACCAAGTCCCCCTTATGCTTGGCGATGATTCTCCTGCAGGTTCTGCTACTGATGGTGATCCCCGTACACCTGATATGCCATCAATACGTGCACCTTTTGACCCTGATGAGCTGCAAAAGGATGCTTTGGGTGTCTCACCATCTCATAGGAATGGAGCTTTTACTGAAGAATCAGATTCTGTTCCTGGAAGAAAGGGTTTGAAACAGCTCAATGATCTTTTTGGGTCTGGAGATGGGGTGAACAATGCTAAATTTGCAGAAGGGAGGGCAAGAAAAGGCCTCAGTTTCCATGATCCAGAGGAGAAAGAGCAAAGTGTGCGGAATGACAGTATCCATGATCTCAAGGCTCGAATCCCATCTCAGTCTGAACGAGTGAGTCAAGCCGAGCTAGAAATTTTAACTTTAAAGAATGCGCTCGCTAAACTAGAAGCTGAAAAAGAAGCTGACCTGCTTCGGTATGAGAATAGTTTGGAAAGATTGTCTAATCTGGAGTCAGAAGTCTCTCGTGCAACAGAGGATTCCAGGGGACTTAATGAACGAGCCAGCAAATCTGAAGCTGAAGTTCTAACTTTGAAGGAAGCCCTTGCCGCGTTAGAGGCTGAAAAGAAATCTAGCTTTCTTCAATATCAGCATTGTTTGGAAAAAATATCTAATCTGGAGAACAGCATATCTCATGTCCAACAGGATGCAGGAGAACAAAACAAGCGAGCTGGCAAGGCTGAAATTGAAGCTCAATCCCTTAAGCAAGACCTGGCTAGATTAGAAGCTGAAAAAAATGTTGTGCTGGTTCAGTACAAACAATGTTTGGAGAAGATATCTGATCTAGAAGACCAATTACTGAATGCACAGGAAGATGCCAGGAGGTTCAGTGAGCGTGCAGGTGATGCTGAAAGGGAAATTGAAACCTTGAAGCAAGCTTTGACCAAGCTAACTGAAGAGAAGGAAGCTGCTGTCACTCAGTACCAGCAGTGCTTAGCAACTATCGTCAGCCTGGAGCATAAAATTACTTGTTTTGAGGAGGAAGCTCGAAGGCTTAACTCAGAGATAGATGATGGGGCTGTGAAGCTAAAGGATGCTGAAGAGAGGTGTATTCTGTTGGTAAAATCAAATCAGACCATGCAGTCTGAGTTAGAGTCATTGGTGCAGAAAGTGGCAGCTCAAAGCGAAGAAGTTACGGAGAAGAAGAAGGAGTTGGGGAGACTTTGGACTTGTGTACAAGAAGAGCGATTAAGATTCATGGAGGCCGAAACTGCTTTTCAAACTCTACAGCATCTGCACTCTCAATCTCAGGAAGAACTAAGATCTATGGCGGCTCAGCTTCAGAACAGGGCTCAAATTTTGGACGAACTGGAAGCCCGTAATCAGAGTTTAAAAGATGAAGTGGAGCATGTCAAGGTGGAGAACAAGAGCCTAAGTGAAGTCAACTTATCTTCAGCTCTGACTATACAGAATCTGCAAGATGAGATTTCAAGCTTAAGGGAGACCATAACAAAACTTGAAGCAGAGGTTGAGCTTCGAGTGGACCAAAGAAATGCCCTTCAGCAAGAAATTTACTGTCTGAAGGAGGAGTTAAATGACCTTAACCGGAAGCATCAGGCAATCATGGGGCAGGTGGAATCAGTTGGTTTCAGCCCAGAGTCCTTTGGGTTGTCTGTAAAGGATTTGCAAGATGCCAACATAAAGCTAAAGGAGGTTTGTGAGCAAGACAGAAGTGAAAAGGTAGCTCTTTTGGAAAAGTTGGAGATCATGGACAAACTTATTGAAAAAAATGCTCTCCTGGAGAATTCTTTATCAGATTTGAATGTTGAGCTAGAAGGGGTTAGAGTCAAGGTAAAGGAACTGGAAGAATCCTGTCAATCTCTTTTGGGAGAGAAATCCATTCTTGTTTCTGAGAAGGCTTTGCTGGCCTCTGAGTTGCAATTTGTGACTGATAATTTGGAGAAACTTACAGAGAAGAACAGCATTCTGGAGAATTTCCTCATTGCTGCAAATGCTGAACTTGAGGGGCTGAGAGTAAAATCAAAGAGCTTAGAAGATTTATGCCTGCTGCATGAGAATGAGAAGTCTGACCTGGCCTCTATGAAAGGAAGTTTAACTTCTCAGTTGGACATCACTGAGAAAAGCCTGAAGGATTTGGAGAAAAATTATAAAGAATTAGAAGAGAAATATTCCCTTCTGGAGAAAGAGAGAGAATCCACACTTCATGAAGTAGAAGAATTACAGGTTTCTTTAGATGCCAAAAAGCAAGAACATGCTAATCTAGCCAAGTTGAGTGAGTCCCAATTGGCTGGTATGGCATCACAGATCTGCTTTCTACAAGAAGAAGGTCAGTGCAGAAAGAAAGAATATGAAGAGGAGCTGGACAAAGCTGTGAATGCGGAGATTGAGATCTTTATCTTGCAGAAAAGTGCACAAGATCTGGAAGAAAATAATTTTTCTCTCTTGCTTGAGCATCAGAAGCTCCTGGAGGCATCTAAACTTTCAGAGGAACAGATCTCTGATCTGAAACATGAAAATTGTGAACAACAAGTAGAGTTGAAATGCATCTCTGATCAAATTAAAAATCTGAGAATGGGACTTTATCAGGTGTTGAAGGTTCTTGAACTTGATGCAAGCCAGTGTGAAAATAAAACGGAGCAAGACCAAAAACTTGTGAACCGTTTACTCAACAAACTTCAAGAAACACAAGAGTTTCTCTTCAAGATGCAAGATGAAAATCAGCAGGTGGTCATCGAGAACTCTGTTCTTGTTACACTGCTTGGGCAACTGCAACTAGAGGTGGAAAATCTTGTGATGACTAAAAATATCCTTGATCAGGAGCTGACGACCAGGTCTGAGCAGTTCTTGGTTTTGAAGAATGAGAGCCAAAAGCTTTCAGGGATAAATGAAGTGATGAAATTGAAGTTAATAGAGGGAGACCACAAAGAGGAGGCTTTGAAGGTTGAACTAAGCAATCTTCACGGGCAGCTGTCAGACTTGCAAGGTGCTCACCAGAGCCTACAGGAATTGAACTGCAAGGTTCTTGATGAGCAGAGGTCCTTGATGAAATCATTTTCTGACCTGCTGATGGAGAAATGTAAACTAGAAGAGGAAAACTGCTGCATTCTTTATGAAACTGTATCTCAAAGTACCCTTTCTCTAATTTTCAGGGATATCATCTGTGAAAAATCTGTGGAAACAAAAAGCCTTGGTGAAAATCTAGATAAACTGTATCATGACAACAATGGTCTCAATGAGAAGGTGAAGATATTGGAGAAGGAGTTAGATAAGCTCAGTTCCTTAGAGGATGAGAAGAGAGAGTTATGTGAAATGGTGGAGGATCTTAAGTGCAAGTATGATGAGGTCGGGATGATGCAATCAGATCAAGAAATGCAGATCATCAAACTATCTGGAGATTATGATCAGAAAAGCAAGGAGGCTGAAAAGTTTTGTGAAGTAAATCAGAAATTGGAGTCTGAAATGAGGAAATTGCATGAAGAATTTCAAGAAGTTAAAGGCAGGGAGGAAAATTTGAGTAATGAACTGGTAAAGGGAAGAAATGAGATTGAATTACTAGAGTCTCAGGCTGTTGCATTGTTCGGTGAACTGCAGATATCTGCTGTGCGAGAAGCCTTGTTTGAAGGAAGGATTCATGAACTCCTTGAATTATGTGAGAGACTTGAAGATGGAAATTGCTCAAAACATGTGGAGATCAACCAGCTGAAAGAAAGAGTTAGTACTTTGGAAGGCGGAAATGCAGACCTCAAAGCTCTGATGGCTGCATATTTTCCAGCTTTCCTGTCTTTGAGGGATTGTGTAACATCACTGGAGAAGCACACTGTTTCAGATGTGACATTTAATGAGGTTGACAACAAGGAACCAAAGGTAATTTCTATTTTATCTGATTTTGAATCGTTCTGTTATTGCAACTTTACTTGGCCTGGTTCTAAAAGTGACATGATCAAAATCCCATCCATTAATTGTCTAATCATACTCTGTGGGGTTTGTAAAATTTATCACTTCAATCACTCCTTGAGATTTTACCTGTATTAACGTTTATAAGCTCTCATGCTCCATTCAAACCCAGAGTTGATGTGCCCAGACATTGCTTCTATACTATTGTCATTGATTTTTTGTTTGATAACTTGTCAGCTTCTTATCTGCAATATTGGGGTTTATCAATGGTTATTCTTCCACTTCTTCCCTGTTACCATTTAAACAAAGGCCCTAGTTACATATTTCTTAAAATCTATTTTGTAGTAAGTTGTCATTTCTGAACCCTGTATTAAAGTAGGCTGGTTCTCATTTTCAATGCTGGTGGACAGGATTTATATAAGCTTCCTTGTGATGCACCGAATAATTTCAGTTGTCAATTATTCATAAGCTGCAAATACATTTTGTTTTGTATATCAAGTTCATGGTTTTGGATATTTTGCTTATATTCCACTTGTTGCAGGATGCTGCAATGGTGGTGCATGCCGAAAGCTGTCAACAAATGAGTGAAGGACAGAGTAGCGTGGTACCACGTGGAACTTTGGACTTCCAGGAATTGCAAATGAGGGTTATAGCTATTGAGAAGGCAGTCATTGAGAAGGAGAGACTTGTTATGGTGGAAAACTTGAGTTCTCATTCCAAACTCGATGCTGCAATGAGGCAGATTGAGGAGTTGAAATCTGGAAGCAGCTTGCATCTAGCAGGTATTGAAACAAGGAAGTATGCCAAGCCAAATCCAGAGCATGAGGAACTGAGGGCCGTGCTCAGTGATGATCTCAGGCAGCAGAAACAAACACATGAAATCTCCGAGGATGGGAGTGAAGTGATGACAAAAGACATAATGCTTGATCAGATATCTGAATGTTCATCTTATAGAATAAGCAGAAGAGAAACTATGGAGGCTGATTATCAGATGCTTGAAATATGGGAAACTGCTGACCGGAATGACAGCAATGACCTGACTGTTGGAAAAACTCAGAAGGTGATTGCTTCACAGGCGGAGAAAAAACACACCAGGCAGCATCCCTCCACAGAATCAATGATTGAGAAGGAGGTGGGTGTGGACAAATTAGAGATCTCAAAGACATTATCGGGGTCTTGTCAAGAAGGAAATAAGAGGAAAATTCTAGAAAGACTTGATTCTGATGCTCAAAAGTTGACAAATCTTCAAATAACAGTTCAAGATTTGAAGAGTAAGGTGGAGATTACAGAGAAGAGCAAAAAGGGAAAGGGTATTGAATATGATAATGTGAAGGAGCAGCTGGAAGAATCCGAGGAGGCCATCATGGAGTTGTTAGAAGTCAATCACAAATTAGTGAAGACTGTTGAAGACGAGCCATTGTACTTTGATGAGAAGTCCGCACTAATTCCAGATGAGAGTGGCAGTGTCAGGAGAGGAAAAATTTTAGAGCAGGCAAGAAGAGGATCAGAGAACATTGGGCGTTTGCAGTTGGAGGTGCAGAAATTGCAGTTCCTTTTGCTGAAACTCGACAGCGAAAACAGAAGTAGAGGAAAAACAAAAATCACAGAGCGAAAAACAAGAGTTTTACTGCGGGACTATCTGTATGGTGGAACAAGAACTAGCCAGAAGCAAAAGAAAGGGCGCTTTTGTTCATGCGTGCAACCTCCAACTAAAGGAGATTGAGGTATTTACATTTTACGGGAAAATAATCGGTGTAGTTCAATTTTTTTATCGAGACATTAGTTGCTTTGTGCATAAACTTTCCTTGCTAGATATGGTGTTATATAGAGGGCTAAACTCTCTCTTTTTTACGACCTTGCTTGCTTTGAGAGGACCCGGCCTTCTTTTAGTTTAGAGATCCTGCTGTACATGTCAGGCCCTTCTTATAACAAGAAGCTGCTCTATTAGAGCCTCGTTTTCCCCTTCATTTTGCGTGCATGCTGGAATGCTTTTTCATAGCTCATAAATTTAATTAGTTTCCTTAATAGTTGCCAATTCAAATGCCACCGAATTACTTGCCCACAGCACTGTTGAGATTTTTCTTCAAAACAGATTTCTAATTGTTATGCTGCGAGTGTTTTCCAAGGTTTTGCCTTGCGATTTTCCCCAAGGGATCAACTTGCTTGCAACATTGTTCTCCATGACCAGAGCAACATCAGGATGCAATTCATCTCCACAAATCCATTACAATATTGTAGAGTAAACAGCATACCAAGATAACACGTTGCAGTTTCCGCTTGTCAGGCCTCCACATAAACTCACTCGCCGAGGATTCTTCGACTGCCCATTGACTGCAAGAACGACCTCACTGCAATCAACCTTGCAGCCTCAAGCCCGGCATTGAAAGTGGACATGGAAGCTGAGATTCCATCACTGCTTCAGGAGTCATGAGCCGTGGAGGAAGAGGATAGCCTATCCCCATCGACAACATACTCTCTGGTTTCCGCTCCTTGAGATAAAAATGCTTGAACTTCCATGCAAACATTCTCCATTCTGACAGAGTTTGAAAACTCCAGAGCACTTTAATAGTCTTGGCACTGTCAAGCCACCAGGCCACCCTTTCACAATATCTAAAAATCTCATTTCATGCACAACAATACCCTGAAATGACGTGCTATAATTTCTCTCTCGGCCATACCATTCATCCGAGGTTTCCACTGCCGGAAGGATCGTGATGACATGCGCTGCATCAATTGCTCCACAACAATTAAGAAAGCCCAACAAAGTATCGAATCTGCACATGATTTCCTGTATTTTTTTAAAATATATTAAAATAATATTTTTTATTTTTTAAAAATAATTTTTGATATTAATATGTCAAAACAATTCAAAAATATAAAAAAATTATTAATTTTAAACAAAAAATAACAATTAAAGTTTTCACTAAAACTGCGTTTTATAATGTAAAAAAAAAAACATACAAATAAAGTGAGAATAACACCTGCAGCTAAAGCTGAAAGATAATTTTTTTTTTTGTTTTTTAACTATCTGCGAAATGAGATTTTTTTTTTTTTTTTTTTTTTAACTATCTGAGAAATGAGAGTGTTTTTGACTTCCAGAATCAGGACTGGCTTAACTGGCACGTGCTAGGAAATTCTTCCATGGGCCTAACCAATGGGGCCCACTTATCATTTTAAGTTTAAGCTAAACATAGCATGGGCCCCAAAATCCATCCAAATACTATCTTATATAGTCTCTTCCGAGCTATTTAGGACTAGTATAGTGGACATGCGATACTATCTTATATAGTCTCTTCCGAGCTACACAGTTTTATTTAGGACTAGTATAGTGGACATGCACTGTCAGGTAGTAACTATTTAAATCTGTTTTTATTTAATTATACAAATTAGAATAGATATTCATATTAAAACTCTGAAAAAAAATATTTTTAATCAAAATTATCTTCTCTCTTTTTTAATATTAGAAATATTCACAAGAATATCGAATTCAAGAGGAAAACATGCATATTTTAAATACAAAAACTCCCCTTTTTTAATCATGTATTTTTTTTATTTTAATGAAAGAATATTTTTTTTTTATTAAAAGTAATGTTTTTTAAATAAAAAAGATCGTGAAAGAAAGTTTTAATAAGAAAAAATAATAATGAATTACTCATTTTCACTCACTTTTATGTATAAATATAAGAATAAAAAAATATAAAAAATAATAAAATATATATTCTATTATTATTGAATATTAATGACCAACTTTTCTTGAACAATTCTGCATATTAACTTCGTATATATTTAATCATAAAATAACTGTTTAATATTTCCATAAAAGCTCTAATATTTTTTAAAACCATGGAATAATTGATTAGATATTTGTTGAAATATTATTTTAATAAACTCATTAAAAGATAATTTTATTATATAATTAAAAAAATAAAATAAGTAAAAAGGCCAAAGGTTGTTAACCTAGATCCTAGGCCTCAAAAGATGGATACACGTGTCTTGCCTATATATATATATAAAGCTTAGGTTTGCATGGGATTAGAAGCCAAGACTCCTACACTTGACTTCCTTCGTAATCTGCCCTAACACTATTTTTTTTTTAGTAGAATGAACAACAGCTTATGGGACTACTCTTTCCAAGATAAACATATTGACATCTTGATTTTTTTCATGGCTAAAAGATGCCTAACTAATGAACTCCTTCTCTTACCTCTTATTTTCAAGTGATTTTCTTTCTATTTTTTTTAATATTCTAGGACTAAATATAAAACAAGTATAGTTTGGAATCAGAATATTAAATATTAAAATTTCAAATACCAAATAATGCATAAAATTGAAATTTCAATAATAAAACTAAAGTTTTTCATGCGTTTTGAATAATTTTAGAATCAGAATATTAAATATTAAAATTTCAAATATCAAATAATACATAAAATTAAAATTTCAATAACAAAACTAAAGTCTTTTATGCGTTTTGAATAATAAACTCTGTTTTTTTAATTTAATTTCGGTTTTTATTTTCTTGATTTTTTTAACTATAGCATAAGATTTTATTGCCTAACATTAATATTTAATTTAACATTGAAAAAAATACTTAATACTTGGCATGAAAACATGCAAGATGAAAAAAATCTCAACACATAAAACCATATCAATATAACTTAATAAAATGAGATTGTAAAACAAAATACATCGAAAATAAAAAATATTATAGAAATGAACACGAAATCCATAATATTTCAAGTCTAGGAGAACAGCTATTGGTATTTTACAAATCCTCCAGGATTTTTAGTTTCTTTTATAATTTTTTTGAGCCAGCGCATGGCTTCAGGTCAGTATAATTATGCTATTTCTTTTTTCACATATTTAATTTATATTTTTAAGATAGTACCTATGTTTTTATATAAATTATAAAAAAATTAAAAATAAACAATAAATTTATTATATTTTCATACCACTTGCAATTTTTGTTTAAGTTCATTGAGCTTTTCTCCAACAATTATTATAATTGAAGGCACAAATATTTTTTTCTTCTAAAAAATTAATTCATATCATATAATTAATTAGCTTCAGATGGATTGTAATAAAAAAAAATTGTATTTTAAATATGCCAAACATAACCCCAGGAAATTGATTCACATAACCGAAATAGAGTTAATGAGAAAAAAAATATAATGAAATTTATCATTTATTAATCAATAATTTTTAAAAATAAGTTATTTACTTATTTCCATAATAATGATAATCATACCACTAAAAGATGTTTCTTAAATTAAAAACAATAATTTTAATTGGTTATGCAAGATTAATTTAACAAACAAAAATTATAAAAAAAGTATTAATGACATTTAAAGAAAGAACTTTAATATTTTCTTAAGTGACATTTTTAAAATATTTTTTTCAAAAAAGCTCCCATACTTCTGGACAATTTATTGTACATTAGTATGCTCTAACCCTATTTGACTTGCAGTTCATTTCTTTTGCTAATTAACAAAGAAAAATTAAAAGAGGGGAAGATTTTACCATACCTTTTCCCATATAATATTATTCACTAGAATATTTTTCTCCCCTTCTTTTTTTTTTTTTAATTCAATTTCATCCTTTAATATTAGATTTATTGAGGATTGAGATTTATAATTTATTTGATAATTTACTTTTTATGAGATTATCTCAATTTCATAATCTGAATAACAACTTTAACATGCTAATTCGGTTGACTCGATTTTTCTATTTTTTCTAATTGACTTTTTCTTCTTCTCAATTTCATCCTTCATTATTAAGTTAATAGATAATAAAGGTTCATGATTCTTATCGTTTTGTTTTCTATAAGGTCATCCTCATCTAATGACTCAAAAACTATACATCGTCTATGCTACAAAACAGCCCATCGTTTCGTCATAAACACGAACCGTGCTCTGTTCTCAAGTTTATGCTAGTCCAATGGTAGCAGTAATGCTTTTTTAAAATCAATCCCTTTGATCTGTCCAGAGAAGCATCGACACTCTCGTCGCTGATTATTGCGTTGAAACTTGCCTATTCATCGATAGAAGTAGTAGCTCTCCCAAATCAGTCCGTTGATTTGGCTGCAAAATCATTCTCATCGTCCTGCCAAGAAAGCAGCCACTCGTCGCTGATTATTGCGTTGAAACTTGCATATTCATCGATAGAAGCAGTAGCTCTCCCAAATCAATCCTGCCAAGAAAGTAGCCGCGCTCTAATATCAAATTTCATCCTTTAATGTTAGGTTTATTAAGGATTGAGGTTCATAATTTCTTTGATAATTTACTTTTTATGAGGTTATCTCAATTTCATAATCCGAATAATAGCTTTAACAAGTTTTCTCGTTTGATTTGATTTTTCTACTTTTTCTAATTGACTTTTTTTTTCTCCTTAACTTCATCCTTCAATATTGAGTTGATTGATAATGAGGGTTCATGATTTTTATCTCATTTTCCTAACTGATTTTTTTTTCTTATTTTTTTAATTGATTTTTTTTCCTAACTTCATCCTTCAACATTAGGTTGTTATCTCATTTTCCTAACTGATTTTTTTTTCTTATTTTTTTAATTGATTTTTTTCCCTAACTTTATCCTTCAACATTAGGTTATGTTTCAGTTTGCTTTCTATGAGGTTATCACTGTTTTATAACTCAGATAATGAGTTTAATAGATTAATTAACTTGAGTTGACTTAAATTTTTTTAATTGATTTTTTTTTAATTTTATCTTTTAACACTAAAGTTAATTGAAAATTGAGTTTTATAATTTATTTCAATTTGTTTTCTATGAGCTATCATAGTTTTATGACCTAAAAGATTGACAAGTTAACTTGAATTGAAATGAATAGATTAAATATGTTGTTTTTTCAATATTTATATAAAAAATATCATTTTTAATATTTATTTTGAGTCAAATTATATTTTTATTGGTGATTTATATTATTTCTAAACTTGTTAAATTGACCAAGTTGTATTAGATCAAATCTTACATGATTTGATTTCTTTTTTCTACTAGAAAAAAACAACAACAATATCTAAATTTTTTGTTATATATATTTTTTAATTCAACCAATAACTTAGCGCGTTGAAAGTCATTTCTACATTAATGACTAAGGTTGCGTGCATCCAATATTCTTATGCTCGCGTGGCTCATCAGGAATAATCCAAAAGGCTTTCCATTCGAAGTCTCATGTATAAAACGTACACATTGTGCAACTTGTAACTTGTCGGAAGGAAAAAAACACCTCCAACTAAAACCAATTATCGACGAAGTCAACTTCTGTTTCACTTGTGTTGATTTGATGCAGCATATGCATGCGATGCATAACAGCTCCTAAATCAATTCGCACACAACTGATACATATTTGTAAAGTTGAACTTCGTAGAAAATGACACTTGCTGATCGACAGCTTAGACTTTGTTATATGCCTCAGATTCCTCTCTCAAGGGGTCTGGTTTGCGAGTATGAAGCATGAAATTGCACGCTCCAACAGCTTCTCCTACTGTCAAATACATCCATTCTTGTCCTATTTTCTCGATAAGCTTGGACTTGTTGAGTTTCTTCATCACTTCAGCTCCAGGATTGGCCAAGACAAGCTGTAAACATGCATGGCGACGAAGAACATCAGAACATGTAAAGTAATGGTGTGGGATAAAATCAAATTTGTAGGTCATAGAAGTTTGAAGAAGAACATACTTGGAGTTCCCTTCTGTCCATTACTTTCTTAACTTCCTCAAGCATGCTAATCCCACTTGTGTCAATGTTACCTACCGCTGTTAAAC